ATATATAATTTTCAATATAAAACGATAGAAAAAAAGATAAAGAAAAAGTAACGCGAACAAAATGGAAAAAGAAAAATAAAAACAAAAAAGAAATAAAAATAAAGGAAAAGAAAATTGATTTAGAAAAATAAAATTAGAGTACCTGTAGTAAAATATATTTTAAACGTAGAACGGCAAAGGATTTTCAAATCACCATCTATTGGTTGTTCCCCGACGAGTTTTTTTTTTTTTTTATCTTTTAGAAAGGAAAAGAGACACGAAGGCGAACGTTTGTCCATCGATCCAGTTTGTTGCTTTCATTCTGTTCTCAGACGTAAAAGAAATAAGACGAATGAATATTATCGTCTTAAGAAGATTGTAACGCTCGTGCGCTAGATCGTTTGCGATCTATCAAAAAAAAAAAAAAAAAAGAAAAAGGAAGTGGCTCATTAATAGTTGGTGTAGTAATAATAGTAGTAGTATTAATAATAAAAATAGTAATATCGTGATTAAAATATGCACAACGATAAGACTCGAATGTAAAAGTGTACAAGCTGTTGAATTCACATGACTTGACGTCTATTTTTTGTGTGCATTATCGTTAATGTGTATGCGTGCTCTTTATATGTGTATTGTTATGTCAAAGTATATTACGATTTGTCAATATACTCTTTTCAATTTACTTATCAAGATAAATATAAATCGGTAATAGATGAATACGAAAGAGGTATGACAATCAAGATTTTGTATAATCGTTTAACTCGCGTGTTTTACTTATTATATATGTTTATTTCAAATATTTTCCTTTCGATCATATGAATCTGACATATTATCTATAAGTTTTCAATGGGAAAACATATAAAACATATATGTTCGTTAGATTATTGCGAGATCATGTACATAATATGTCGTCATGATCGTTTTATTGAACAACTTTTGCAATTTAACTCTTTCACCTTTTCTTTTCTTTTTCATTTATTTCTTTTCAAAAATTATGCGTCGATATTAAATTCATTGAAATTATCGATCATCGTTACGCTATAACCAACAAGGAAACAATGTGTAATAAAGTTATAAAATATATCTACAAAAAGAATAAGAAAACGTGTCCTTGTAACGTTTAAAAATAACATTTCGTCATTAGTTTAACTATTATTTCTTTCTTTTTCTTTTTCTTCATTTTATTATTTGCTAATGGAATTTTACATACGTCATATAAACGTACGAGATATAATCTAGCTGAAATAAATTAATTATGATTTACGACATGAAAATTACGACAAAATTTCATTTATTTTTATATATGGATAACGTAAAAAAAACCTTCCTAATTATAATAAAAGTAGTTTTTCTTGTGCATATTGTAATTAAGGTTAAAGATAAAACTATTTTTTTAGAATGAATATATAAATAACGTGACGAGATAAGCGCATAGTCATTATTTACGAAATTTACGTTATTATATATCGTGCGAATCAATGAATTACGCATGATCACGTTGTTTTTTTTCTTTACTGTATATGTCTACGATTACTCATGATATTACGAAATTAACGAGGTTAATTACCGGCGAATAGTTACACAATCAATAAGCTTGAAGCGCGAGCATTTAAACATAAACGATGATCATTAACTGTAATTTGTAGAAGATCTACGATACATATGCTATAATGCAAGTAACTTCTCTGTTATGAGTTAAAATAAAATGTTAATTTAACGAATCGCGTCGAGAAAATAACGTGTTTTTTTCTTTTATTTTTTAAACATTTTAAATAATCTTTACGTTTTCTTAACATTATTGCAGAAACTTAAATATCCAAAGTCCGTATTTTTCATCGTCAGCAATGAATTCTGCGAGAGATTTTCTTTTTACGGAATGCGTAGTAAGTTTCATATATTATTTCTTATGATTTACTTTTATTTTATTTTATTATTTTTGTTTTGTTTTGTTTATGTACGTATAATATATATGCATACTTAATTCGATTTTAATTTCAGCGGTCCTGACGTTATATCTTGGAAATACTTTGAATTACGATGATAGGACTTCGACCGTTATCTACCATGTCTTCACCATGTTCGTTTATTTTTTTCCTATATTCGGAGCCATACTAGCTGATTCCTTATTAGGGAAATTCCGTACAATATTCTATGTTAGTATAATCTATGCTGTGGGACAATTTTTATTATCCTTGAGCGCCGTACCGTCGATAGGAATACCAGCAAGGTTAATATATTTGCAACATGCATTATTTCATGATTTTTACGGTGACTCGAGAAGAAAAAAAACAAAATTATTTTAAATCGTACATTCTCTAAAAATATTTTTCGCGTATATATTTCGAGAATCGATAGGGAGAACAAAAATTATTATTATTTGTTAACAAAACGTCGTTTATCAAACATTTTTTTCGATCCGTTACGAATTTATGTTTAAAAAACATAAATAAATCGATTTGAAAGAATTGTATATATTTAATAAATAATTCTTTTTTTTTTTTTTACTTTCTTCCAGTCACCGTAACATCTCTCTAATCATTATTATTTATCTTATTATTTTTAAATTACAGGGAAATTGCATTACTGGGTTTGTTTCTAATAGCCCTTGGTTCAGGTGGTATAAAACCTTGTGTAGCAGCATTTGGTGGAGATCAATTTATATTACCGCAACAGCAACAACAACTTTCCAATTTCTTTTCCGTATTTTATTTCTCAATAAATTCGGGCTCATTGATATCTAGTTTTCTTACACCGATATTACGAAGCAACGTGACATGCTTCGGCGATAAAACATGTTACTCTTTATCTTTTCTAGTACCAGCAGTATTGATGTCTATATCGATCGGTAATAAATTATATATAAATTAAAACAAAAATATAATTATATATATATAAATAAGAATAAAAAGAAGAAGAAAAAAACAAATGAAAAAGAAAAATAATAAAAATAATAGAAGAAGTAAAAAAAATCTTTAAAACACAAATTTTTGTCTTACAGTGATATTCGCAATTGGTAAACCATTATACAAAATAGTTGATCTCCAAAGCAATGTCGTTGTCGACGTTTCCAAATGCATCTGCGTAAGTTAAATAAATAATTTATTTTTTTCGCGACACAAAAATAACGAACATTACGAAATTAAGTAAAAACAAGGGGGATAATAATATCTAATGGTAATAATAATAAGTATTAATATATATATATATAAATTTTTAATGATAAAATTTAACAGGGAACTTGGACATGAAAGAAGTAGAACTTAGTTCAGCGTTTTTTGTAAAGATTAAAACTGTAAAGATTAAGTTGCTGAAGAAGTCCCAATAAAGGGACGAAACGTCCAACTAAATCAAACTAAGTTCTACTTCTTTCATGTCCAAGTTCCCTGTTTATCATTAAAAATTGTAATTTTTGGACGAGAGAAATACTAAATATATATATAAACTTTTTATCTTACTCGCGTATCATATAACTTTCGTGTTTAGCAAAATTTATTGATAAATCTTGTTTTAAATAAAAAAACAACAACATTTTAGTACGCTATTAAAAAGAAGATACAATCGAAGAAGAAAATGGACCATTGGCTCGATCATGCAGCAGACAAATATGGTCAACAATTAGTCGATGATATCAAAGATTCCTTAAAAGTATTAAAGATGTTTCTACCTTTGCCAATATTTTGGGCACTTTTCGATCAACAAGGATCGAGATGGACGATCCAAGCATCGAGAATGGATGGTGAAATCGGTAATTTCGTTATACAACCAGATCAGATGCAAGTATTTAATCCATTATTGATTGTGATTTTCATTCCCATCTTCGAGATTTGCATTTACCCAGTATTTTCCAAAATTCGTTTACTTAATACGCCATTAAAGAAACTTACAATCGGTGGTTTATTGGCTTCACTATCCTTCGTTATATCTGCTGTTGTTGAATTACAACTTGAGGCAAGTAATTATATATAAATAACTTTCATTTTTTTCTTCTTTTTTTTTTTTCAATAACTATTACTACTACTATCACACAATTTTATTGATATTTTTTATTTGATATAAATTTATTTGATATTTTAGAAAACGTATCCAATATTACCTACAGAAGGTGTGGCCCAAGTAAGAATTTTCAATACCATGAATTGTAAAATACCGATAACAATCAACGATCAAAATTACGATATTGATGGTCTAGATTATTGGAAAGATATAAACATCGATACTACTAATGGCGATGCTTATTTAGAATACTCCTTAAATATGACAAAATGCATTGAGGCTAATTTCATGAATAATATGAAAAATGGTAACAATCAGTGCACCTGTTTAATTAAAAATTTATGTTAAAAAAGAAAAAGAAAAAGAAAAAGAAAAGTAATAAAGAATTTTTATTTCACTATAGAAATTATAATGGAAGGTTATCTCACTATACCAAATGCTGAAGCAAAATCGTTTGCTATTACACCTAATGGAATCCAAAATGGCTTCAGCGATGGAGTTGAAAAACCAAAAAAGGGTCTTCCTACGGTTCACAGTCTTATTTATTTATCTCCAGAATCAATGAAAAAATACAATTCTAGCTTGAACTTTTATACAGAATCGAAGCTCACCGAAGTTATTAAATTAAATAACACAATTTTCAAAGAAACGTCATTGCATGAAATCAAGCCAGATAAATATGATATATATTTAAATAAAAAGAAATTATTATCAAATAAGGATTTAAAATTAGGTGGAGTATATACTATCGTTGGTTACGACATACCAGAAATACAAAAAACGGAAATATCTATTATTACTATAACACCTCCTAATTCCATGCACTTGATGTGGATGTTACCACAATACATTGTTATAACCATGGCAGAAGTATTATTTTCAATAACTGGATTAGAATTTGCATTTACACAATCACCTCCCAGCATGAAATCTTTAATGCAATCTTCTTGGTTACTTACAGTAGCTTTCGGCAATCTTATTGTCGTTATTATTGCAGAGGTTAAATTCTTCAGTAGGCAGGTGAGCTATCTAGATACATGGTTACAACGATATGTACTATTTTTAATTTATAAATATGTCTATTGTTATTATTTATTTTCTTTTTTAAACGAGAAATTTATGTTTTGCAGGTTTACGAATTCTTCCTATTCGCAGGTTTGATGCTTGTGTTCATGATATTATTTAGCATAATGACATTGTTTTATAAATATACGAATGTACCTGAAACAGATGGAGAAGAAATCGTATTGGAAGAAAAAAATGGAACGATTAATCAAGCGTATAAAGATGACGAACAATGAAACATACAAAAAATAAATTTTTAAAATAATGAAACTTATACTCGTCTTCAACTTTTATGTTGAATGATAAAACATATCAAGATGTATATAAGTATATGTATATAAGTATATGTATATATACTATAAGTATATATGTCGTTACATGATGTTTTTGTTAGAAAGACCGTTGTGTTACATGTTGCATCAACAATGGCGACGATTACAATCGTATCTTTACATATAATCGTATATATTACGTATAACGTAATTTTTTGACAAACAATGTGTAGGAAAATTCTTTTCCCAAGAGGAATAGGAAAAATTAGAAAGAAAGTGAATATATGAAAATTATTGAAAAATCGGTCCTTACACGTACATTGGAATTAATCCTATCCTAAGATAAAATAAAATGTAAATTAAGTTCCAACGACATTTTTTTTTTTTTTTATTAAATTCTAGCACCTATGAAAATATAAGAGATATTAAGAAACATTATAAAATAATTAGTTTCTACGAATGAAATGATGAATGTGAAATGAAGAATAAAAAGAGAAACGTGTGTGTAATACGAAATTAAAAACTGATATGATATTGAAGTGGGAATTCCGAATGGGATTGTGCTCTATCATAATTAAGAAGTATTTTCTGTCTTTTAAATCATATATCACGAAAAATAAAATTCTTCAAATAATCGAATAATTTTTTGTTTTCTAAATTTACATGCTAATGGGGATATATACCAATTGCTGTAATCAACTGTCAAAGCTAATGATTGTTGCATAAATGAGTGAAGCAAAAATACAAGTATACACCAGTATATATAAAACGCATTTCTGAAGGCACACACGTATTTAGACACTAAAAATTAAATATAATTATTTTAAATTTTTTTACAATATAACTATACTATATATAACTATCAAAGAATATTGTATTCTTTGATAGTATTGTACCGTCATCGCGTTAAATACATACTATCGTCCAATGGTGGTCCCAGTGGTAACAAAAATAATGCTGAGTAGATAAAAAAGGGGACTTGTGAGTTTCTATATACTTCACTACAAAAAAGTAGGCATAGAATCGCAACAGCAGAAAAAAATGAAAAAATGAAAATATTTACCTATTGTTTATACATTATTAACTATTAACTTATTTCTTTTCACTATCTTTTAGGTTGTTACTTTGGAAATCAACTTTAAATATATCCCCTGTAGGTATGCAACTTTACTTTCATTTTTTTCCAAGTGTGCTTGCGCCTCCTTGAATTTGTGGTTGCGCATGCGTATAACATATCTCCCACTCAGACGTCGCCATTTCATAATTATTCAAAGTGTAATTATTATTTTCAACTAATTAACGATAAATAAAAAATATTTGACAAAATAAAGTTGAGCAAATAGTGTGAAATTCAAAGCATTTATTCATTTTTTTCTGCTGTTAAGGTTTCTTGCCAGCGTTTCTACGGTTAGATTCTTTGATTACCTTGCCGGTAATGTAGGGTACAACCTGTAATAAATGATTAAAATAGAAAAAGCAGAGAATTAAAAACTTAAAAAGTAATACTTTAATTTTTAGAAATGACATATGTTATTTGAATTTATAGAATGCATACGAACTGTTTCATTTCTCTATTTTATTATAAAATTGCTAGCACAATCAAACATATATACATATAAGACTAATCGTGTCTCGTCAGGTTATGTTCACTTTCACGTGTTATATACCAATTTGTGGCCTTGTAATTAACGTTACGTGCAACTACGTATTTATGATTGGTTTCCTATTAGTCATTTTTATTTAAGAAAATCGTGTTTTTTAATTCAAAAATTTGCAGAAAATATCTATTATCTATTTTTCATAACTTTCAAGCGGTGTGAAATAACGTGAAATTATGGAGACATTTCTTACAGCATCGAAATCGGCTTTAGTAAGTAATATTACCTTTTTCAAAGATATCTCATATATTCAACGGTTTTGTTTTTTTTATTTTACGAATCGTTCATTATTATTAATCCTTGCAATACGTGTGCAACGTCAATGTTTTGTCAAGTCGGAGCTGACCTCTGGTGGCATAAATAGGGAATAACTTTCGATTATCGATTCTATTTAATTCGAGAATAAATTTCAAATTATTTATAGAGGAACATATATTAATTATTACAAAATATAATAAGAAATAATTATTTCAATGTACTATTATGTATATACATATATATATATACAATACTTTATTACGATACATACATTATTATTTAATATCGATATAATAATCTCTTTTAGACAAAATTATTTGAATATTCTACGATTCGTATCGTTCTTGGAAATCAATCTTGCGACTTGGATTCGGCAGTTTGTGCTTTAGCACAAGGATTTTGTGAATATTTAAATGAAAAGAAAAAAAACAAAGAAAATGTTGCAGTAATACCGATATTAAACGTTACCAAAAAAGAGTTTCGAATTAAGACCGAAGTCATTTATTATTTCCGCCAGCATGGAATTTCATACGAACTTCTAACATTTAGGTATGTACAAATATATATATATATATATTTATAAATTTTTTTTCCCACATTATACATTTTTTCCCAATTGTCAGAAACTTTATTTTATTTTTTAATTTACATCTACAAGCTAAGACAAATACTTGTCTCTCGTAAATACAATTCTTGTTTATATATTATACATATATAAAGCTAAGAGATTTAAATTCAAAAGTTCATGAATAGAGAAAGAAATAAGCTCACTATCATTTTAATCTATTAAAGAAATTTATACATAAATATATATATCGTAAAAGTTACAACAACCATTAATTCTTACGTTGTATTTTTGATGAGTGGACAGTTACTCTTTCGCAAATATAAGTACATTTTACTTTGTTGAAAGTGGACCTACAGTATCATGACAATAAACGATCTGAATAAACATGAAATGAGAAATAAATGAGATGCCAAGAAAACTCGACAAATACTCGTTCTTACAAATATCTATCACGTTGCATTTGATAAAAGATATTTAAATCGTCAGTTGTTTTCATCTTCCAAATCAGTAGTCTCAAACTCATATATGAATACGAACCATCACCAAATTTAATTTAACATAATACGAACCTCTATAAATTACAAAAAGACAAAGAAAAGAAATTGTTTCTGAAAACAGAAACATTTTAATAATTCAAAAGAAAAAGAAACAAATCTTTTATCTAACATATCTTGACACGTTTCAAGTCGGGGAACGAAAATCGGGTGCTACGACATCACTATTAGATAGATGTTAGAAAATTTGTCTCTTGAATAATATCTGATCGGTTCTATTTATATATATATATATATAGGGATGAAATAGATCCGAATATTTTAAAAGGATATGGCAATAAAATAGAAGTCGTACTCGTGGATCATCACGTCCTGGGGAATGACGATATGACGTTGGTCAACTCGGTCGTTGAGATTATCGATCACCATCCTCAGGACGCATCTTGGCCCTGGCACGGGAAAACGATTCACTTAGACCTGGTCGGCAGCTGCGCCACTCTAGTCGCGCACAACCTTCTCATCAAACATCCCGAATCCGTCGACGCGTGGCTGGCAAACTTCTTACGAGGCAAGTTTTTCCTCCTTCCATCGTATACCTTCAAAAGCCTAGCCTCCCTTTACCTTCCTTACATTTCTCCTCTTCCTCCTCGTCCTCCTTAACGTCCTTCAGCTCCTTCTTTACTTCCTCTACTCGTCCATTTTCCTTGAAAATCGACAATCCTGAGGGACTCGAAAGTCTTCCGGGTGGATCGAACGAAAAATTATTGATGCTTCTATCGAACGTTCTTTCTTTTTCTTCTCCCTCTTCTTGTGCCTTCTTCAATTTTTCTTTTCTTTTTTTTTATATCCTTCTTTCCTTATTATATTCTTTGGTTTTTTTTTGTTGTTGTTGTTTTTTTTTACTTCTATTTACTTATTTTTGACCATTCATTTATATTATGCAGAATACAAAGTAGTCAAAGTAAATATATATATATATAAATATAGAATATTTTTCGTTCGATAGACATATTTAAATTATTTGTCAGTATTTTAAAACAAATAGACAAATATTCATAATAGGGTGGCAGAATGACGTCGGGGTTAACACGTAATACAGAATTCACGCGATAATGTTATTTTATTACAAATATTTATAATTTTCTAGATTTATTGGTGTAATATTGATTGCTTTTAGTATTATAATATTATTTTATTATAAATTTTGATTTTTTAATTTATAATTACTAAAACCACCACCACCCCCCGCGCCCCCCAATTAAATAGTATCCTTTTTCTTTTTATATTTTAATTTCTTTGTTTATCTTTTTTGTTAAACGTTGAATTATATCATTATTTGAAAGGGAAAGAACGTTGAACAAGTGGACGCGAACTGGAAAGGAATACAGAATTTCACAAGTTACATATTTTATAAAGCCATTAGGGAGAACCTACCTGCTTTCTCTCGTTTTCCCGCTAATGCCGAAGGATTAAACATGCGGACTTGCCTCGTTCAAGTACAACGAACGCCACTCTGAAATACTACTACTAATACTAATACTACTACTATATACTACTACAATAGTAAAATAGTAACGCTTTGTTAGAAAATCTGTATAAAGATAACAAAGAATTCGGATATCCTTTTTCTAATATTCTTAAAGATAAAATATATTACAATAAGATCTAACGAGAGAGATGATATAGACGATATTAATTATATAATATGAATTATATACCGAAAAAAATGTTAATATCACATTTTTACGTTTCGATTAGGCCCTATATTATTGGATACTTGCAAGTTCTCGAAAGAAGCAAACCGAACTACATCACTTGATCGCGAAATTATGGAAACTCTCGAGAGAATCTCGTCCCTTGGTTCTGATAGAGATCAAATTTATCAGGGAATACTAACGGCAAAAACGGACATCAGTGAATTAACACCCGATGATCTCGTACTCCGTGATTTGAAGTTTGAAAGTAACGTACCGTTTATTGGTTTGCCGATATTAATTAAGGTAAGTGTCAAAACAAAAAGGAGGTATAAAATAAAGTACTAAAAATACATTTTTATATACACATTTTATATTTATAAAAAAAAGAAAGAATACAAAAAAAAAGAAATTAAAAACCAAAAAAATAACAATAGACAAATGTCGGGATAGAATGTTATTGACAAATAGGTAAAGTTGATACCGCCCCGTCCCCCGTCACTAAGTTTGAACTTAAAATTACTTTGGAAGAAATAAGCAAAATATTTGAGTAGGATCGAAACACTCGTCGTCTTTAAACCTCCCCCATCCCTATTCAAGATAGGAAAGTTTGATTTACATCGTTTAGTTGGAAAGTTTGGAATGGGGTTCGTTAAGATCGGCACTCGCGAACAAGCCCGATGCGTAATCCATCGAGAGAGGGTGCGAGACCAAAATCGATGTCACCCCTCTTATTTTCGAACGAACGAACGAACGAAACTCTCTTGCCCGTTGAATGCCAATGGGGATGAACGAATTCCAGATTTTCCACACTTATGTACGAAATACTTTGCCTATTACCAGGATTTCCTCACTTTGGAGGGTGCAATAGGAGCTGTCGAGAAGTTCACGGAAAGTAGAAAGTGTATGGTAGCTATCCTTATGGGAATCGCCTTGAAAAACGACCACGTGACCAGGGACATCGCGGTCTTTTCGTTATTGACCAATGGTCTGGAAAATAAAGTAAGTAGTATCGTTTCTCTCTTTTCGTACCTTTTCGTACCTTCGTCCCTTCTCCTTCTCAAGTTTCTCTCACTCCCTTTATCTTCTTTTTTTTTTTTCTTTTTTTTTGGATCTTCTTCCTCGACGTGCTCCGTCGAACTTCGTTTTCCATTTCCATCCATTTCCTTTTGATTTTTCGCATCGGTCTAATCCAATCTACCCTCTTTTTTCTACGTATCGTCTTCAAACGGCCAACTAAACCCGTTATTACTTCCTTTTTTTCTTCTTTTTTTTTGTGGATTTACCGATGCTCGAATATCAGTTATCCGAGAATACGAAAGATTTCGATGTAAATACTTTTTCACTTTTATCCGAATATTCCGATTTTTCAAAGCATCTAGCTAAACTTGAGAGAGAATCGAGGATACAAGTATCGAATATTTCAAGGAACTAGATTACGATGCTAATGTTTATAAAAAGGAAATAGTATTCTCTGAGAAATATATTCTTCACGTTACTGCATTATCTTCTTCTTCTTCTTCTTCTTCTTCTTTTACATATTCCATTTTACTTTTCTTTTCTTTCTTTCTTTCTTTCTTTATTTATTTATTTATCTACTTATATCTCACATTTACATACAAAATCACTATCTTTCTAAAAGACAATTTTTCTTTTTTTTTTATTATAACTCAGATAATCAACGCGTTGCTCGAATCATCTGAACCGCCGTTAGAACTAACATTGGAAAAACGGATCGAAGAAGAAAAGTATAATCTGTTTTATTATAAACAAGGAAACGTTTGCGCATCACGAAAACAAATATTACCGATAGTAAGGGAAACATTATCAAAGGATCGGGATTATTAATGGAAGGAAATGTATTATATATATATATATGTATGGTTAAAATAGGTAAAATATCTCAACTTGGATATTTATCACGCATTCATCTGTAATTGTAGCCGTCATAGCACGCACAGAGGAAAAAAGAAGTGACTAATTACTGGCGTAAAAGGGTCCACCTGCGTTTCACCCTTCGCGTCCCTTTCTATTTCTCTTTCCCCCTCGTTTTTCCTCCCTTTCCGCTTTTTCACCTTTGTTTCTTGCTCTTCCTCTCCCTATTTTCCCTCTCTCCCTCTCTATCTCTCTCTCCCCCTCTCTCTCCCTCTCTCTCTCTCACTCCAGGTTCAATCGATCGTCCTGACATAAACGTCCATTATTTGATCGGTGGTTTTAACCGAAAGGCGAACGTGGAACGATAAACGTTAACCACACTGCCTACGCCATTTCCGTATTTCTTTTGATCATCTTCGTATCATAGAATTATGTCTTTATCATTCACATCGTATAATATTTGAAATATTATAATTATGATTTATCAAAATAATAATTTTAATAATCGTCATCATCATTATAATAATAATAATAATAAAAATAATAATAATAAAAATGAAAAAGTGAAACTTTTTAACGAGCGATTTTTAGAGAAACCAGTTAGAGAAAATCTCGAGTCTGTTTTTCCTTGACAATGGAAGTGGCAAAGGAAGAAAAAGAGAAATACTGTGAGATGAGTTGAGGAAAGCCTCGAAATACCTTGACCGAGGAAATCCGCACGCGCTTTTCTCATGCAAACGACACATACAAAGACACAAACGATCCAGTCGGGGTAAATAAGCGAACGCGTACCATCAACCCTCCGAAACACCCGCAACCCATCCAAACTACCCCCTCCCCCCATCTCTTCTCTTTTCTTCTCTTCTCTTCTCTTCCTTTGGCTCTTATCCCCACCTTACGGCGTCTTCTTCCAAGTTGCTTGCTTCTCCGACTACATCCGGAAACTCTGACAGGTGTCTACTTTCGAAACGATTCTTGCACGACCGGTTAACTTTCTACCTAGACCACCACCACCCTATCCTCGAAACCCTCCGCCACCTCTCCTACTACCCCCCCCACCCACCCTCTCCTCCCTCCCTCTCAGTTCAGGATAAAATTCATTTTGCAAAGACGCTTACGCCATTTTGCCACTCCCAGACAGACTCCTCTCGTCTGTCCTGGAGTACCAAACAGGAGATAGAAGCTAAGAGAGATGGGGAAGAAGTGAACGGAGTAAGCGAGTGAATGCGTCGGATGAGTTTTCAAGAGAACTTCGTGTATACTTTCTTACGTGGGGGGGGGTAAAACTTTTCTAAGATACTACAACTTTCTACGATATTAGAAACGATTTCAAATTTATTTTTCATTTAATTTATTTTTTTACTTTCTCTCTCTCTCTCTCTTTCTTTCTTACATTCTCTCTCCTTTTATATATTTCTTGATTTATTTGAAACCCTATATATCGTACAAGAAAATAATAATAATAATAATAATAAATATCTCGAAAAAGAAACATCGCAAAGAAAAGAAGGAAGGAAGGGATTAAAAACAATTTTCTGAACTTGGAGAGATCAACGGAAGATTTTCATTGGGGGAAAAATAAGGGTTAAGAAGATTAAGTTGATAAGAAAAGAAAAGAAAAGAAAAGAAAAAAAAATAAATACGACCTCGAATGTATAAGCAAGGTATAAGAGAAATGATTGGCCGCGTCAAGGCATCCTCGGCCTCGGCCTCGGCCACGGCCTCGACTTCGTTGAGGTGGAGAACGAGGAAGGAAGAAACGATGCTTGCTTGCTTGGCTAACGGGTGAGAAGAGGGGTGGAATAGGATTTTGCGCAGTGAGTTACCCCAGCCACGATCGGACCTCTCTTATCCCTACCTACCCCCTTTACCCTTCCCTTTACCCCTTACCCCTTACCACCTCCACATCCGTTCACCGCTGCCGCCGTGAGCCACCAACGAACTCAGGTGGGGGATGATGTTGCCGCGGATGCTGGCTCCACGTCGTAGACGGACGAATCTCGCGTCAGTGCGGATCCGAAACGGACACTCGGGGATCGTTCTATATTATTATATTTCTATATATTATTATTATTTCATAAAAAGCGCCTAATTGCAAAAGGTCTTACACATTAATACTTCTTCGTTTGTTTTTTGTTTAGGGTCCCTTATTTTGTTGCTTTTTTGTTATTTCAAGTGTGATACTCTACGTGTATGCACAAGTGTGGGAGAAAGGGACTAGAAGATATTGAAATAAGAAGAAGAAGAAGAAGAAGAAGAAAATATTTTTTTTGTGATAAGAGAGAAAAAATAAATCATCATCATCATCATTATCATCATCATCATCATCATCATCATCATCATCGATAAAATAAAGAATAGATCGAGAGTTTTGAATTGTCAAGCTGAATTATCAGGTCGATGCCGCGTATCTCGTGCTTGGATAGCGCGGGACCTCGTCTCGTTTCGAGGACGAAAAAAATCTTGATAACAGTAGTAATATTAGTAATAATAATAGTAGTAATAATAATATTATCCTCGAACTCGTCTCATTCGAATCTTGCACCATGACGAGTTCATCTCTCGATGGATCCACCAACGTGCTCCACCGTGTTCGACCAATTCTTACGATCTTCCTGCTGCCCCTGGCAGCTTTGGATATCTCGTCCTTGAACGGTAAGTCTTTTCTTTAAAGTTATTATTCAACAGAGTAAAGGAAGTTTGTCCTGTCACGAGAACAGTGCGTGGCGCTTTATGCTCTGCGGCCAGAACAGTAGAGACCCAAGGCTCGTGGGTGTGGATCCGTGTGTCCCTTTCATATTTATTTATTAATAAATCGAAAATCAATATATACATATCTACATATATATAATTCTTTCTTTATTTTATTCTAATTGTCGATTAGAGATTCTATCCCTGAGATAGGGTTAATAAAGTATCACTTTTCGATTCATTTGATTTCTCAACGATCTTTATATATTGTCGTCAATCGATTAGAATATCGATCAAAGTTATTAAAAATGTTAATTTTTAATTACGATCATGTATGAAAAAAAAAAAAAGAAAAACAACAAATGTCTCATTTGGGATAGGACAAAACGTTCGGATATCAATATTTCCAAAAACCTATATTATAATTCTGATAGGTTTTTTTTTTGTTCAAGCTTGGTCATTTGTACGAAGGGAATACAAAGCAATTAGCGAGACCTCTATATAAAGCGTAGCAACATTCGATGCTCATTGAAATGACCGATCGATATTCAACGTATATTTAGCGGATATGAATGCTTTGGTTAGATACTCATCGGATATTATAGACGTATCGCCAATATCCAGCCGTTCGTTCACTCGCGGTGTATTCTCTAGACGGGTTGACTATTGAAACTGTCCTTTGTATATTCTTCCTCATCCCTTTTCCCAGGTTCCTTTTCCTTCCTTCCTTCCTTCCTTCCTTCCTTCCTTCTACTCGTAATTCGATCGACTCGAGATGAAAGATACTCGACTCCCTTGTTAAGAGGACACCGGATATCTCCGCACGCGCTTTCCGCTGTTGTTGGCGGTCGTCGATTCTGCCTAAAGGAATGTTTCCTCTTTCGAAAAGCAGGTCGCATTACACAAAAGCATTGGAATTTGATGTACGATGATCTTAAAATGTCTATTCATGGTCAGTTAGTTACTTACTTATTTACTTACTTGCTTGCTTGCTTGCTTGCTTGCTTATTTATTTTATATTACATATATACATTTTCCTTTGGTACCGATCCCCACAGAAAAGAAGAGAGAGAGGAGAGGATAAATTTCTTATAAAGGTAAAATTTATCGTCACGAGCTGAAACATCGAGGAAAAAGGAGAGAAAACGTCGCGGCGATTCTAGGTTTGCTAGTGGAGGAAACAAGGGGAGGGGAGGGGTGGTGGGGGGGGGTAAAGTAAAAGAAGGGTGGTAGGTAGGTAGGTAGGTAGACCGAGAAGAACCTCGTGGAATATCAATTCGTTGTGGTATCGTTTTCGTGCGACCACAGAATGGCTAGCCAGTCCGTTCCTTGCGGGTAAAAGACCTCGAGAAGAAAAATAGTGTCTAAGGTAGAACACGCACGAATGGTCGATCCAACACGAACGGGTGGTAAGACTACTACTATCCTCCCCTAGTGGAAGGCACATATGTCGCAGGCTACTCGAATACGTGTTGTACGAACATCCATCGCGGAATTCCAACCAACAGCTATCGAGTTTTCCTTCCGTCCCTTTTGGCATCCATCTCTCTTTTCTCCTCCACCTCCTCCTACTCCCCCTTCCTTTTTCTTTTTCTTCCCTCGTGTATCCTTATTTCCTTCGACCCCTTCTAACGACTCGAACGTTTTTCTTCGTTTCCGTCCCCCCTTATATTCTCTTTTCACTTTCGCCTCCGGCCTGAAAAAGCACACGAGCAACGGGGTTAGAAAGAATGGAAGAAGAAAAAAAAAGATTCATTTATTAAATCCGTGGGGGGAGGGAGGAAGGGGGATCGAGGCAGGCTTTGTCGGAGCAATCGAGCCAATTAAACGCGAGCGATCGACCGGAATCGTTTAACGGATAGAAAATCCTCCTACTACGTGAAGGGTTTGTTAAGTTATAGCCCGATACTGTTTTCCGATCATTGCACTTTGACCGTAGTATCACGCAACTTTGATGCTATTAGATTCAATACAAAAATTAATAATTAGAAGACAGACAGGCAGACAGAGAGAGAGAGAAAGAGAGAAAGAGAGTAAATTAAACTTTGACAATGCAGATCGAGCGTATAAAACTGGAATGTAAATGACATTATGCCGATGTTCCTTCGAGCTTAATAATGAACCCATCTACGCGTATCACCAGATTCCCAACGCTTTATAGACTTTAATGGAAGCTTTTATGTCGGCGATCGGACGATACGTATACGTCGAGGAGCTGGCTACGAGAGCAAAGTTTTAACCTGGTTTCCGAGTCTAATTCGGTCATTGATCCATGACTTTTGAGTGACAGCAAGCGCATAAAGAGGGAAAGGAACTTGCTAGAGAGAAAGAGAGGGGGTAAACAGAGAGAGCAAGAGGAAGGGGAGAAAACAAAGAGAGAGAGAAGGAGAGAGAATAACCGTAGAGAGTAAGCGTAAGCTCACGGGGTTTGCAAGCATCATGGAAAAGGGGAACACGAAAGCTTTCAGGGCCGTCCATTAATCGTCATTCCGCGTACATGTTGAGACGAGAGGAATAACAATAACAACAACAACAACAATAACAACATCGATGACGACTACGACGACGACGACTACGACGTCAACAAGAAAAACAAGTAAAACTTGCGACCAAGAGAAAAGAAGGGAGTAGAGAAAAGAGCAACAGAAGAGGGAAAAAGAAGTAGAGTAAAAAAGCTTGCAACGGAGCGGACAAACAGGGTAGTAGAAGAGGGTAATCAAAGAAGATAGAAAGAGAGAGAGAGAGCAAGAGAAGAGTGTGGTAGTGGTGGTGGTGGTGGTAGTGGTATATAGGAGAACGTGAGCACGCCAACAATTCAAGCCGCATGGAAATTTATGCAAAAGCGTAACCGATATCGCACCGATTAATATTCATCGAGGAGGGTGAGGAGACGTCGGAATGCTCGGGCCAGCGAGAACCACCACAAGAAGAGCAGAGCTAGTTGCTGTTGCTTCTGCCGTTGCTAGTGGTGCTGGTACTGGTGATGGTGATGGTGATGGTGATGGTGCCGCTGGCCGCTTCGTCGAACGTTCCGTGGATAAACGAAACAAGAACAAAATCGTTTTTCTTTTATCTTTTTTTCCTTTTACCTTATGCCTTTTTTTCCTTTCTTTCACCTGTCTCACCACTCTTTATCTCCCTCTCTACCTCTCGTTTTCTCTATCTCATACACAACCAATCCCCTTCCCACTCCCCCCCGTACCATAGCAAACTCACATGGCGGACTCTTTGTTTCTCCCTCTCTCTTTCTCTCCCCCAAAGAGATTGAATATTTTTCCTCCTTTGATCAAGCTTCTCCTCCTCTTCCTCTTGCAGCCACGAACGCGTCCTCATGCAAATGCGTTTACGCGAGAGAATATATATTCGCAGAGGCTTTGAAAAGGTTTCTCTCTCTTTCTCTCTCTCTCTCTCTCTCTCTCTCTCTTTCTCATTCTATAGCAGATACTTTAATCGCCTTGAATTCGAACACATCTTCTCGGAAACCGTCCACCCACGTAATCGTTACATTACCATTGACGATTTACCCACACATCGTTGAACTGGACTTTGTAACAAGAAGACTACCGTACTACAAAGTGCGTATACCTATACACGTATAAGGTTCCCTATCGAATTTTCGTCCCTCGATCGGTACTTACATACTCTGCTCGTTTACTCGATCGAGATGGCCGGCCAACCATTATTGTTCTAATCGAATTTGTTACGGAAGTTAGCTCAGTGAACGCGTGCTTCACTGCTATACTACTTCCCGCACAATCGAAGGAGTTCTTTTTAAAAGGATTTACTAAATAACATTATCTTCATTTAATTCGTCGTATCATTTTTTTTTGTTCTTTTCTTTCTTTTTTTAACAGTATGTCATCGGATGATTTATGCATGGGCCAATGCATGTAAAATAAATATTAGTTAATTTTTATATAACAGAGTGGTATGTGTGTAAAGAGTTACGCATATCGAATGTTTTATTATAACCGTGATAAATGTTGTATCAATCGATTTAATACATGATATTTTATTATATATATATATTAACAATTTTGTTTTTTTTTTTGTAAAATACGGAGCAAAAATAAATATAGCAATATTTCTTCCTTTCAATTATATATCGACGCATCACTCTTTTTCTTTTTAATTTTCTTTCTCGGGGGTGTGATGCCTTTTGAAAAAAATCTTTGATTCATGTCTGAGAAGGGATACTAAAGTCGTTGATATGAAAAAAAAAAAAAGAAAAAGAAAAAGAAAAAGAAAAAGTAAGAATCCGACGAGTTCGTACCATTCGCACGTAATACGATTACGGGAGTCTTTCTAGGATCTTTCCTTTAAAGATATACCAAGCAATGAATTCCATACGTTTTTTAAAACTATTTACTACAAAGTTGACGTCAGATCAACGTCTCCTCGAAACGCGCGAAACTCTTAAAAAATAGAAGACTCAGAAGAAGACTCAGAAGAAGAAGAACTCATCTTCTGAGTCTTTGGCTCTACATTTTCTCTCATATTTTCCAGACTAACAAGCGACAAATATTTCGTAAAACGTACTACTTTCGTATATCTCTTTCGTAAAAGAGTCTTCCCTTCGGCTTTTCATTAAAGTCCTTCTTCCTCCTCTCGGCATTTATAAGAAGAGAGAACTCGAAGACGATAACGAAAGAAACTTTATTTTCCTTTTATTTTTTTTTCTTTCTTCTTCTTCTTCTTTTTCTTTTCCCTTTTTCATTTTTTTTTTTTCTTTTATTCTTTATTATTTTTATCTTTTCGAGATAACTTACTAGTTAGTAGTTTTCCTTTTTATTAATGAGAGATTCTTAGCTCCTGTTCTCTGTGCCGTTGCTTTTCTTGACGAGTGGAAAGGACTTGAAAATCCTGACTCTCTCTTCTCTTTCAGCCACGTGTTCGAGTATCCTGTGAAGAAAAAGAAAAAGAAAAAGAAAAAGAAAAAGAGAATGAAAAAAAAAAAAGAAGAA